CACGCACACGCACACGCACACACGCGCACACACACGCACGCACACGCACACACACACGCACACACAACGCGTACTCGCCGTGGCGTAGCACAGGACAGAGTCGAATCCAGTGTTGAGAGTGAGAGGGCGAATTCAACAAGCCTTGCACCAGCGTAGAGAGAGCGTACGGGGTCTGGGGCGAGCGAGCGAGGAATTGCACGTAGTCGAGTGCGAGCACCCGGCACCGGGCCCCGGTGCCGGCGGTGCGCGGGTAGTAGGGCAGCGGCGAATGGGTGGCGGGCAGGCCCCGGTATGGGCAGGGAGTGGCCTGCGAAAGCAGGCGCCGTGACAAGCCCAGGCCTGCGCACCACAAAGGTTTATTATAGCGACGGGCCTAGACCACTCGGTACACCTAATGAGCGACAAGGAGGCAGACCCGTGTTCGAATCCAACGGCGATCAGATGAAGGGCCTCGTCGCATTACTCGCCGTCCGCCAACATTGTGATTGCACGTGGACATGGTTTTGTCCAGATGCATTCGAAATCTTGGCGGATGGCGAGTAGTGCAACCAGGGCCGAACAGAGTAAGGGTCTGATCCCACCACTACACTACGACTGTAGCTGTGAAAAAGCACTACAAGATGTCAGCGGCCGTGGCGGGACGAAAAAGAAAAATTGGATCCCACCAGGGCGACTTCTTCGGTGCTTTTCCTGAACCCGCTGCGGTTCTTTGTGGGCTGTTGCAGAGGACAGCCAATCGAAATGCTGCAAACCGACGAAAGACAAAAAAATAAAAATAAAAAAAATTGTTCCCTCTTTTTCGCTGCAGAGATGCCCTCACGGCCTCCACAAAATTTGTAGCAACTACGCTTGCACCATTCGCAGAGGTGCTGCCACGACACATACAAATGGAAGTATGGCAAAATATTTCGGCGGCTGCGACGAAGTAGGAAAGTGGTGGGATCCGCAAACTACAGTGTAACTGGGCTGTAGTGTAGTAGTGGGATCAGACCCTAAGAGAATTCTGAATTACCTGGGGCCCGTCAGCTCAACGATGCCTGCTGGTGGGTGCAGCTCCTGCATGTTGCCTCGTTGGAGGCTTGAGCACGTCTGTGGCTACTACGGGGTTCCCCGTAATACTATTGACTTCACGTGAGGGCACAGGTGCGCAGCCCATAGTTTTTATATGCTTGATTGATAAAGGAGGAGTTATTGGTGAGGTTTAGAAGTGGGGTGATTGTTTCATGAAAAAAAAGGAGCATTTGTGTGTATGTGTCAAGATTAGTGTGTGTGTGTGTTTGTGTGATACTTATGTGTCAAGATTAGTGTGTGTGTGTTTGTGTGATACTTAGGTTGTTTGTGTTTATCACATCTGTTAGTGTTGGAATGTGTGGGATGCAGGTCCTTCCTTTTTCCAAAAGTCCTGTAGTAGCCCGTACGTTTCCTAAAATTGTGGCACGTTAACGGGCACGACTCTAGGAAGTACAAGTGGTTTAAACCACCAGTACTTGGGCGACGCCTTAGCGTTAACGCTACGAGAATTTCGCTACCGGCGGGCCGTCGATAAATCGTATCGACAGCCCGCGCCGCTTCAAAAAAGGTGCGGCCGGCGCGGCGCGCAGTACCCAAGTACTGGTGGTTTAATGTATTAGGCTTGGATCCCACATCGCGCTTTTAACAAAAAGTCGGAAAAGTCCCGTAGGAGCAGGGACCTTCCCGTTCATACCGTATAAATTTTTTTGGACTCCACAGGCCCGTCCTTCGAGGGGCTTTCACAAAAAGCCTGCCGAAATATGTTGGTCCATTTGCGTCGGACCCAATCGCGCTGCCGTAAACGGAAAGAAAAATGCTCGCTGCTTTTAGGGAACAGGGCAAGGGGCTGGCGGTTTTTAGGGATCAGGGAAAAATCGAGGTCTCATCACGGCGAGTGTCACGGTATGATTGACACGACAAGTACACCGAGTAGAAACAGCCGAATTTTATTTCGGGTCCCGAAAGCCCCGGTGCATTGTGGGATCCGAAATTTTACCCAAAATTGCCTCACTAACAATAGTGGGATCCAAGCCTTAGATATTTGACATACCTTGATTCATACTTGGTGTTCGCAGCCCTTAGGCTGCGGTATAGTGGGCTTCCGCGTCTGTGTCAACGTGTCGCATTTTTTACAGCAGGCGACCAGGATGCAAAGTGGGTTCTTAGGGGGCAAAAAAAAATGGGGGACCGGTCCTTGGCAAAACTGCGGACTACCTACAGCTAGCTCTGCTAGAACTGGGACTTTTGGAAAAAGGAAGGACTAGTCCTCGGGTGGAAGTGGACCCCAAAAAGAAGTGGGGGGCGTTGGACAAGTCCCCGGGTAGAAGCGGACCCCAAAAAGAAGTGAGGGCATGTGAACTGCAAAAGGGCCCTCAGGCCCAGGCATTGAGCCTCGTCTTCTCAAAACAGGGGGGTCAGGCACAACGAAATAGGCGATTTTTTGTGCTCAGACGAACATGCACAAAAAATCTGAGAGCACAAAAAATCTGAAATTTTAAGAATCCATAGATGAGGTCGTGTTCTTTCCATAAATAATAGTAGAACATTTACAAAAAATCATTTACACTGCGAAATAATTGTTGCGCCGATTCTGCACATTTTCCATTTTTGCCACTCAGCCATACCCGGGCCAACTAAAAAAGTACTCCAAATTCAGTGAGTTTTCACGCTCAGAAGAATGAGTGAAAAAACCTGAAAATTAGAGTACTCGTAGATTTTGTTGTGATCTTTCCAGGAAAAATGGTAAATAAATTTTAAAAAATTATTCCAACTGCAAAATAGATCGCGGCCGCAATTTGACCCATATTTCAATTTTGTCATTCAGTCTCTCTCTCTCTCTCTCTCTCTCTCTCTCTCTCTCTCTCT